GCAGAGGTGGACACTTCTTAGAGGAGGAGAAGGCAAGTTTCTCTAGAGTGGCTATCTTTGAGTAGTATGAATACCCTGATGACATTTTTGCAATGACCTCTTTCCTTCCCCTTTCAGTCCAAATCCAGGACAATATCTCAGAGGTGAGGTCTGGAGAAGTCTTGCCATCTTGACATGAAGACGAGAGAGAGAGAGAGAGAGAGAGAGATGGAGAGGGAGAGGGAGAGAGAGAGAGGGAGAGAAAGAGAGAGAGAGGTAGGCTTTTCCTCCTAGACTTCCACATTCCAGCTGGAGTCTCAGGTCTAACAGAATACGGAAGGAATGTCCATTATTGTTCTCAGGGACTGCAGAGTGAGCCAGCCAGGAACAGGGCCTTGAGGGAACCTCACTTCTAAACCTGTATGAGTAGTTTTGCAAGGGACGCATCCACTTCCTCCTCTGTTGTCCTTATTCAGGAGGCAAAAACTCAGAAAAAAAGCTACAGATCCAAACGTCCGCCCTCTCTCGAGTGTTTTGCATTAACTGTTCCACAGCACAAACACAATCAAGTTGGTATGTTTGAATGTTTCATGTTGTTTTTTCAAAAATGTTTTAATTAAAACAAAATAATCAGTCATGCTAAGCACATTGTTGTTTTTTAAAGGCCACTTTAAAAATGACAATAGAACCAAGGAAATAAAATTCAACTGTTTAGGAAAGTCACAGAACTTTGTTTTCTTCTTCTTCCTTTTTTTCCTGGCTGTTTTTTTCTAAGTCTCAGGGCTGCTGCCACCTGCTCCTGGGCCTTTTCTCTGAGAAACAGATCTCCCAGCCGCTTGTTCCCAGCAACATCTGCATGGCTGCACAAACCATGGGCCGGTTCCAAGGCAGGCACTATGTTCTTTACGTAGTGAATGCTGAACCATACTGAATTTCTTTTTAAAGGTCTTTTTAAAGATCCAAATATATGCTCATGAACTTCCCCTGCCCCTGCCCAACATGTATCTTTTAAAAAATTTGGGGGTAAAATAATACATAACATAAAATGTACCATTTTAATTACTTCTCCCATATGTCTTTTAAAGTCGGTTAACAGTAAAAGGTTCATTCATTCACCAAAATCAAACCTCCTTGTCACCTTTCCAGACCAGTGAAAAAATCAATACGTGGGGACCCACCGCAGGGCTTGGCGAAGCACAGCCCGTGGGCCGGACCTGGCCCAGTGCCTGCTTTCGTACAGCAGCCTGTGAGCTAAGAATGGCTTTTAAACCTTCACATGGTTGAAAACAATCAAAAGAAGAATTCGTGTGACATAAAAATTACATGAAATTCAAATTTCAGTGTCCGTCAAGTTTTACTAGAACACAGCCGTGCCAATTCATTTACATTTTGTCTAGCGCTGTTCTGCCCTACACAGTCCGAGTTGAGAGACTGCGCCAGAGCGGGTGTGTGGCTCGTAAAGCCCGAATCATTTAGTTTGGCCCTTTACAAAAGTATTTGCCAACACCTGACCTAGAGCCTCAGATGGGATTACAGGTTCAAAAATGCGAGACTAAAGTTGATACATTGCCCATTACCAAAAATCTCTAATCCATATTAAGAAACTTCTTAAGGCAATATATTTTATCTTCAATATTAATAGCTGTTGATCCAACTATGCTAAACCATACATATTTAATAATATCTATATTAAGTGCACCGATTTGCTGTTTATTCGTAATGAGACAAAATGGAACTACTTTTTGTATTAAGAGCTATAAAAGGCCTCACTGTATACCTCAAAATTAAATAGCTTTGTCTAGGGGCCAAACCAAAATTTCACAAAAAGGACAGGCGTCTTTGATACCAGGAGAGTTTTGACAGCTTTGCATTTCTTAAAATAGTCAAAGCACAGAAGTAGCTGGCACGCATGTCGGTCCACTTCACTGCTCTCAGCCCCTGTGTTGCATACAGGTAATCCGATGAACGTTAATGAGGTCCCCAAGAAGGACAGGGCTCGCTCTCTATATAGCATGAAGATCTCACTGTTAGCGGAACTGATAGGTTTTATGGCCAGATACACTGCTGGCTAATGGGATGAATTCTAGATGAGGAGTTAGAGGAGAATGAGCACCAACTATAAAACATTTGTTCACGGCAGATGTAACCTGAGTTGAGAAACTCTGTTGCCGCACACCTGATAGCCAAATGTAGTGAAACACCCAAGCAGGTAGTTTGCCTTTGACAGGAAACTCAAATAGCCCAAGTCTACCCCGGCTTCTCTGTTCTTTCTACCTCTTGGTTCTCCCTGCAGGTCAATAAATTCCAGACGGGAGCTCACTTTGAAAAACCCATCAGCCCCATCCATGGCCCTGGCTGCTTTCCTGCTTGAAAAGGGAGTCTAGACTCCACCATTAATCTCTACCTTCCTCCTATCAGTTGTGAAGGAAGGAGAGAATCTTAGAGGAAGAATGGAGAGGAGAAGGGAGATCATTTGGGGTTGGCTACACACTGTAATTAGGAGTAGCATTGACGGGGAGTGAGCTAACTGTTTTTATAAAGTCAGCATTCAAAAATGAAAACCACCGGTAATTTAAATATTACAAAATTGTACAGAATGTAAGTACTGAAATAATTTTTTCCATCCACAAAATTCTAGAGAAAATTACAGTATCAAAAAATATAAAATGGCAAGTTTGGCATATCCTCAGAATAAAGCTTTTTTTTTTTTCTAATTGGAGAGGATTTTAAAAACTAGTGAGTGGGTCGACTCTAGATAGGCCGTGATGCTTAAGACCATATGGTATCTTCTTAAAACTGCCTTCCGGAACTAAAGAGGAAAAGTCACAAAAGCACTGATTTACCAGGGCAATAGGAAAAAAGAGCTGACGAGGCTCAATGAACTGGGATTTTGGGCCATTTATCATAAATTCTTTCACAATGGTTATTTATTTGTCCCTACCTCAGACCCCCAAATAAAAAAAGCACACCAGTGTCTGAGGTTCAAACCATGTAAGAGCTGCTGCGTTTGGCCCTGCCTAGGAGAGCAAAAGTGCCCGGGGAAAGGGTGCCACCTTCCAACCAGTGTAAGCATGGTGCTGCCTCACTGAACACTTTCCAGAGCTGCTGCTCGGCCCTTTCCAGAAGGGAACCCGTTCATTTCCACCAGTACCTCTCTCTCCTTAGAGGACATTAAATCCTGGCCACACAGATGGCAAAGTGGTGCTAAGGGGTTACTAGGTTACAGTTCTGTTGACACATCCTGGCTCTCAGAAAGTTCCTCCTTCATTCCTCACATTGGGCAAACAGTAGAAGCGATCAAACTTGTGTAGAAGTTTTTGTAGAGGTCCCCTAGAAGGCCACCACCAATTACTCAGAAACCACTTCCTACGTTGAAGATTTACAGTACTTGGAGACACCCCCCCCCCCATACACACACCCACACACCAACCCCTTCTACTGAACTAAAGCCAAGCTCTGCCTTTTACAGGGATTAATCAGACTGGAAGTTCAGAGCATTCTCAGGGCAAATAAGGTGCCTAGCACTTGGTGAACTGTGAAGCGCTATAAAAAGTATTATTAAGATGTTTAGCGACTGACTTCTGTATGTGGGTGTGTACCTGCAGTGTATCATTTAATCTTCACAACACCCTGCATGGGAGTTATATCATTATCTCCCCATTTACAGAGGAGGAAAGTGAGGCTCAGAGAGCTGGAGGGATGGCCCAAAGTCACACTGTAAGTGACAACACCAAGTCCTATCTTTTTCACTGATTCAAGCCGGTAAGTAAACAACGCAACTCTGAGTTTTCTTTCAGCAGCAAAATCCTGTCTTTCTGACATCACAGCTTGCGACTTTGGGGGGAGAACCCACAGGTTAGTCTTCATACTCAGGCAAAACGGCAATGAACTCCTGCCTTCTTTTCCACCAAAGCCCAATTCTCAACACCCAAACGACCTGCAGAGAAACATACAACTGGGCCAGACAACGCCTTCATGCCTGATCTTGAACTTGGAGAGTTCTGCTGCAAGGAAGGATGTGTATGGAAGCTACGCAAAGTCCCAGCTTCCATCCTGGTCCAGGACTCCTCCTCGGGAAGACCTGGCCTTGGCCTTGGCCATGGCCTGGGGAGCGGGAGACCCTATTCAAAGGGCGGGGCTACCCGGGAAACGGGGCTCTGTACCGCACCCTCAGGACAAGCACCCTAAGCTCAGTAGCGGAGAAATTCCCCATCGCTCCGTCCTTCCCTCCTTCCTCTCCGAGCAGGGCCAGCACCCAGCCAAGCAGCAGTTCAGAGCGGCCCCGAGGGGTAGGGCGAGGGCGGTCCGGCTGAGCACAGCGGACCGTCCCGGAACCCGGACCTGCCTCCTGCCGAGCGGGCAAGTCAACTCGTTTCCTCGCCAGGCAGAAGTTACGGCGTTGGGCCAGCGGGGCTGGGCGCCCGCTCCTCTCCCTTCCGCAGCCGTCCCGAGCGAGGAGGCGCTGGGGTCCCCGCGGGTGAAGAAGCGCGGGGGCGTCGTTGTGGGGCTTAGGGAGGGGATCCTGTCCCGGGAGGGGGCGTCGCTGAGTGGCTTGGGGAGGGGGTGCAGCGTCTTGAGGCGGGGTGGGGGAGCGCCCGGACCGGGGAGCGTCGTTGAGGGACTGAAGGACGGGACCCCAGGAGGTGCAGAAGCCGAAGGGGCGTCCCTGCCCCGGGGAGGCGCTCAGGGACTTGGGCACGGACCCCGGGTCCTGAGACAGAGGAGACGTCCCGGCCCCGGGGGCGTCGCAGGGACGTCCGGCGAAGGGGTCTCGGGAGGTTCTGAGCAGAGAGAGGCTCCCAGGTTCCGAGGCAGGTGGGCACCAACCCGGCCCGGGGCGTCGCTGAGGGGCCTGTGCGGAGCCCCGAGTCCTGGGGCGCGGTACTGGCTTGGCCCGAGGGGGCGTCGCCGAGGGGCTTGGGGAAGGAGTCCCGGGAGGTAGTGGCGAGGGGATGGGGGCCCCCCGGCGGGCCCCGCGGGCGGGCTCTGCACTGGGCCGGCGTCGGGGGTCACTCACTCACCGGGACGGGGGCCGAGACCGGGGCTGGGCGCGGGCCGCGCCGCCAGCGTGAGCGCGGCGGCGGAGAGCAGGGCGAGGCGGGCGGCGGGCGGCGCCATGGGCCGTCAGTGCGGGGCCCCGGGGCGCGGCCCGGGGGAGAGGGGGCAGCGCAGGGAGCCGGGGGCGGCCATCGGAGCGGGACGCGGGGCTGGGACGTGGCCCCGCCCCGGCCGCCCGGCCGCCCCGCCCCGGCCCGCCCTCCTAGCGCCGGCACCGCTCGGGCCGCCCCGGGGCCTCCCCGCTGCCCTGCGAGGCCCGAGAGGCGGAGCCGACTGCGCACGCCCGCCCGACCCCACCCTCGCGCCGCGCCTGCCACTCACGCCTCAGGCCCCGCCCATACTCCCCTCCTCACCTGAGCCCGCCCCCCGCGGAGCATTTTATTGGTCCGATCGAGGGGCGGAGCCAGCAGGTGAGGGGCGGGGAGTTTGGATCCCCGCCTTCGAGTCCGCAAGGGAAGGTTTGGCCCAGACTGGAGCCGGCCGGGCGCCCAATGACCCCTGTTCCACCCTCACTCGGGTCGTGACCCGAGCGCGGGCTCAACCGCAGGGATAGTAATCAGGACAGCAGTTTGAAAACCGCGTGGCTCATCGTGGTGGTTAAAGCGTGCTCTGGAGTGAGCCTATCCTGGTCACGTCCCCCTCGGTCACCTGTTAAGGCCTTGGGCACGTGTGAAGAGAAAATAGCTCCCTTATTTCAATGTCCTCGTCTGTTAAATGGGGGGCGTTTATAGCAATTGCTCCCAAAGCGGTGGTGCTAAATGAAGCAGTGTATGGAAACTTTTACGCACTCAGTAGGAGCTTGGAAAATGTTGAGTTCCTTTCGCTTCCCCAATTCTTACAGCCACAGAGGCAGCATACCGCGCCCGGTTCCGAATCCTGTCGCACATCCTTTGTCAACTGGAACAAGTTGCCTACTCTGTCTCAGCCTCAGTCATCTGCAGAACCGGAATCATAAAGGGCCTTCACAATGTTAGGTGACACGGAAGCAAGTGCAGCGCCTGCCATAGAGAAAGTCCAGAAGTGATGGGGCCATGACTGATGCTTTCTCACGCACTGGGGCTCAGAGAGCGCAGGCTTCCACAAACTATCGGCCCCCGCGTGGGAGGCCTTTGCCCTTCCCAGTCCCCCAGGTTTCCCCCAGCTGCAGTCGGGGTCTGCCGTGGGCCTCCCTCCTCCCCCACACTCCCCCAGGCAGAGGAGATTTTCCTTCGGCTCCCGCCTAAAGCGCCGCGGTGACGCCCGGAGAGGCAGGTCTGGGCGGCGCGCCGGGCCCTTTCAAGTCCCTGGTCCCGGACTTGCAAGTGCGGGCCTGCGCCCGGCGCAGCGGCGAGAACATCTGCCCTTGTGTGCCGACTCGCCGCGCCCAGAGTGGGTCTGGACCGGTCCTGGCCCGCCTTTGGTGCACCGGCCTCCATGTCCCCTCGCCACCCCGGAGCCGCCCCCTCGCCCACTCCCAGGGTCCACCTCCCCGCGAGCTGTTCCCAGGGCTGGGCCTCAAAGGCGCAGCTACCTCCCACCAGGTCTCTCAATCTTGGTCCCTTTCCACCCACACGATCCAGAGCTGCGGCAAGAAGAATCTTGTCCAGTCATTGTTTTCACGATATCATTCCCGAGTTCAAGAATTCTCTGGGCTTTTTACTGGAGCGGGGGGGTGGGGGGGACACCCCCCACCGAGCCACACCTGGTCCCTGAGGACACACTCTTCACTTCCCACCTGGCTCTCACCCTCTCTTCTCCACCATTTTGGGCCCTTCCCACTTCCAAAACCTCCTCCTCCGGTAGGACCTGGAACTCTTTTCCCCTGCCTTGTGTCCTCGCAGACAGGCGCAGGCGGGGCACACAGAAGGAGCGTGAAATGAGAAGATGCAGGTGAAACCATCAGCAAAAAGTAAGCACTCAATAAAGGTAAACCTTCCTCCACTCAACGACTACTCAGTGAGAGGAAACGGGAGGAACGTAGAGCATGGGTGGTGAGCTGCAATTGAGTATATGGATATGGAAATATACTGTACACCTGAAATTTATGTTATTAATGTTACCTCAATAAATTTAATAATTTAAAAAAATTCAGCGAGGAACATGCCAACGGCAGAAAAAGCACAACCTTACATTCTAACCTAGAGGAGAGGGCCAGCCGACCCACATGAAAATAACGTGAATTTCAGAGAGCACAAAGTACGGCAAAGACAAGAAAATGATATTGGCAGAGAATGATCTGTGGACTGTTTGAAATAGGTAGCTGGGGGAAAATTTTAGCAAAGCAGGATATGGCTCTCAACAATTTACCAGGCTTTTTTGCATCTCATCCCAGTATTTGAGGAAGGGGCAGACAGGAAGTTCCAAGTAAGGGTTTTTTGTTTTTTAGTGTTTTTCAAAGTCTGGGGATTCCTGCCTCATGATAGTAGCTTTGGCCTGTCCTGCGCCCCCTGCTGGAAGGCACCCCTGCTGGGTGGGTACCAGCCCTCTGTCCTTCACTTGGCCCTCCTGGCCCTTGCACAGCTGGAATGGACTATGTGATTTGCAGGGCCCAGTGAGAAATGAAAACGTGGGGGTCTCTTGTTTAAAATGATTAAGAATTTTAAGATGGCGAACACAGGTCATTAAACCAAGTGTGAGGTCCTTTCAAGTTTGGGCACCTGTGTCACTTCGCAGGTTGCAGGCCCATGAAGCTGGCTTGTATAACAGATAGTGTGCAAGGCCCTGCCCCCACTGGCTGCTATGAGAAACATCCCTCATGCCTTCCCCAGGCTTCCCTCCCCTCTTTTCCAGCTTAAAGCCCAGCACAGGTGATGGAAACAGTGCACAGAGGCTAAAAATACAGCTGAGCCAGCCTAGGTCAGGGCACTTAATGGCTCAAGGTCTTTTGCTCAGCTATGTAGTTCTGGCCCCTGGCAAGGAGCAGTCTAAGATATTCATTTCAATGCTTTACATGCCTTGGTCGGTTAGCAGCTTTATTTCATGGAAAGAGTGAGGGCACTGAGTGTAGCCCCTGGGCCTCCAGGAAGATGTTGGTGCTTGTCTGTTTGCCTCTTGTGTTCTGCATTCAGACCCTTTGATTCCTCGGTGGGCAGCAGGATTTTCCAAGAAGGTAGGGGATCGCAGCTGGCAGAGTTTGGGTGATCCTGGTATCTTTGAAACTCCAGTTGGGGTCATTTCTGCTCACAGGGCAATCATGTTGTAGCGAGCACTGGATGAGGAGCCTGATTATAATAATAACAACGATAGCAGCCCTGGCTGGTGTGGCTCTGTGGACTGAGCACCGGACCGTGAAGCAAAAGGTCACCGGTTCAATTCCCAGTCAGGACTCACGCCTGGATTGTGGGCCAGGTCCCCAGTAGTGGGCGCATGAGAGGCAACCACACATTGATCTTTCCCTCCCTCTTGCTCTCCCTCCCTTTCCCTCTCTCTAAAAGTAAATAAATAAAGTCTTTTAAAAAAACGATAGCAAACATTTATTAAAAACACTAGTAAACTCTAGGTAGGGTGCAGTGTTTGCTGTTGCATTTCACAGAATCCTCCCCATAGCCCCTGTGAAGGAGGCACTCTTACCACTCCCCTCACACAGAGAAGTGAAATGGTTCATCAACAGGTCATATAGTAGTGGAGCTGGGCTTCAAACCCAGGCAGTAGGACTCTAGGACTACACTCCTAACCACTGTGGTAAATTGCCTTCTTGTCCTTACAGGGTTCTGGTGACACGTGCTCACTGAGGACTTCCTGACCAAGTTTAGCGTGAGGTGAGTGAGGCATTCAACTCAGGCACAAAATTTCAGAAGGCCCCAAAATCTCAGTAATCAAGATGAAGAAATAAGTATTATTTAATAGGGTTTAAAAATATGTCGAATTTATTTAATTAACTGTTTTAATGAAATATCTTTAAAAATCTAGCCTAGCCCTGACCTGTGTGGCTCAGTTGGTTGGGCATCATTCCACAAAGTGAAGGGTCACCGCTTCGATGCCTGGTCAGGGCACATACTGGGGTTTTGTCCCCAGCTGGGGCATGCACGAGAGGTGACCAATCAATGTTTCTCTGTCATATTGCTGTTTCTTTCCCTCTTTTTCTCCCTCCCTTCCCCTCTCTCTAAAAATAAATAAATAAATAAAATCTTTTCAAGAATCTAAATGAATGACAAAAAATTCAAGATGAACAAAATATCAAAACTATCAGTAAAAACAGGATTTCGAGTTCTGATTTTCCTTTAGCCTCAGGCTGGGCTCAGCGTGGTGCTGTCACCGGTCCTGTCTCCCTAGTTTCTGGGCCAGGCAAGTAGCGATTAGTCAGGAGAAGAAGGAGCTTGCTCGTTCTGATGGGGGTGAGTGGGCAGGGAATCTGGGCTAAACCTAATGAGTTCGAGAGGTCTGTGGCACGTTCAGCGGTCACACCTGAGAGCTCAGGCAGGGGGAGGGGGTGGCAGGGTGGGCGGGCACCCTTATCTCACACACTTGGCCCACGATAGGTGAGTCTCAGCACATGTGGTCCAAATCACTGGTCCTCGGAGCGTGCATCATTGTTCAGGAATGTTTTCAAATTCTCTCATCCAAAGTTTTTCTCTTGTTTCCTAAACCTGCTACATCACAAACCTCAGCTAGGTTCCCGTATGGGTGTGGATGTTTACTGCTTGGGTGTGAAAATAAAAACATCTTCTGAGAAGATTAACAGCAACTAAACTCCACTAGAGCTTGGGGGTGGGGCAAAAAGGGAAGAGACAAGAATTGGTATCAATTGGCTCAATTTCCTCTTCATGAACTGATCCTCAAGAAAAAGAAGAGGAACTCAGAGAAATTAAAGAGGGGAAAGGATGTAGGAAAGGAAAAAAGGAAGAAGAAACTTTATAGGAGCTAAAAATACAGTGAGGAGAGTTTGGCTAAGCATCAAAGAAGGGCAGATGTGTTTCCAAATAGAAGCGGTGGTTTAGAGGTGCCCGGAAGCACAGCTCCAAGTGATGGGTGGGGAAAAAAAGTTATTTAGACTGAGCTCGGAAGAATAAAAAAGGTTCAATGGCGCGTCCAACTGAGGAACAGGCCTTTGGGTAACATGGGAGTCCTGCTGCCTCAACCCCAAGTTTGTGAATCAAGTGCTGGCCCTGACATCGGAAACTCTTGCCATGGTTTCAGGATCCTGAACCAAAGAGAGTCTTTCCATCCTGACTTTGTAATTCTGAACAGCCTTTGACGGAACAACCTCTGCCAAAGACTAGTCACTTTCCTCAGGGTGTCCTCAGGTACCTGCTTCCCGTTCTGACTAATGAAGCGTGGGACGTGCCGAACCACTCCCACACCGGGGGTCATGCACTCCCTGTAACTACACCACTTCTGTGAAGCGGATGGATCTGACAAAGGCTCAGTGAAGACGGACCGTAGGAAAAGAAATGTTGAGATACTCAAGTCGGATCAGAATCATTCAAGAAGCTCATTGCTTGGCTTCGTAAGCCTGATGGGTGTGTGTGAAGGACCTGAGATGAAGTCCACATCAAATGTAGGGTTACGTCACTGAGACCGTGGACAACAGGGGCTCAAGAAAGAGTCAGATGGGCGAATAGACCACAATATTAATGATGTTAATAAGAACATTATTTAATGAGTGCTTATTATGCGCCAAGAGCCATGCTGAGGGCTTCACGTGCATTGTCCCATTTCATCTTCCCAGTGACCCCGAAGCAGGCACTCTTACTGTCTCCATTTCTCAGGTGAGGAAAATGAGGTTCAGAGATGTGAATTCACTTACCAATGGAGAGATGGATCTGGGATGTCCACTCAGGCAGACTGACTCCTGGGCCTGGAGGAAGTCTCATGCAACAAGGCGAGGACTAGAACTGGGCCCAGGTATAGTGTGTGGATGGGCTGACGGGATGAGAGGCAGAGCATCACAGTCCTAGCTGGGGAAGAGCACAGTAAGAACAAGGTGGGGTGGTGCGCGCCTGGACTGCACCCAGCCTTTGTTGCTTATCGGCTTTGGGGCATAGTTCTTGAGCAACTTGTGCCTCCATTTCTTCATCTGTGGGGTGGGGATGGCAACAGCATCCAAACTCATAAGACTGTTGGTGTCATTCCACGCGATGATGCTTGTAAATTGTCTGAAACGGTGCTTGGCCTATAATAAGCGTTCAGTGAATACAGATTTTCCTGACACCGGAGAAACAGCACAGGCCAAAGTGTGCTGGGTTAGTTGCGAGGAATGTGAAGGTGTCTTGTTGGGGTACAGTCAATTGATGGGACAGAAGGCACAATTTGATGGGATTTGAAGCCTAGGTATCAGCTGCCATCCATGTGAACGGAAGAAGGACATTTGAAGTGTTTCTCAGAGCCAGGACATGTCACTTGGTCACTGAGTGGAAGGCCTAGGGAAGTAAATACTCCAGATGAGTGTCTGGAAGAAGGATGTGTGGGAAGGCCAACCTCAACATGGGGAAAGCAAGAAGGGAAGCAGAAGAGTTCTTCCCAGGATGCCTTTCTTACCCTGACTTTCCCTTCTCTCCTGGCCACGCAGAGTCAAGGCAGACAGTAGCCGGAGAGCCTACCACCACCTCTCTGGGATTCACCGACTATGAAAGGACGCTTGCTTCCCCAGCCTCCAGACGTTTGCAAACCTTCCCAAAGACAAACCCTTTCCAACACCCTGCTCTGAAACTGACCCACCTCTGTGGAGGTGAGGCCAGGGCTCACGGCTTGAATGAGCCCCATTGTCCTCCCGAGCATCTGTGGGTCCAGATGCCGTCAGCCTGGAGGTGGTTCTACCACGGCCTGCGGTGCGGTCTGCCTGTAGACTTTGATTCACTCCAGGGACAACACTTGAGAAAATCAAACAGGCAACACATGCGATTCCAGGAACGCCTGCCAGACTCATACTCTGTTTTTCCATCATTTCGCTCTCCTCCCCTTTGGGAGGAAGCCTCCTCTGGCATTTTGCGTATGAAAAATCAAAACCACCAACAGGACAAGCACCTGATAAGGAGCTAGGCATTGCCCAAGAGTTCCCAGGAAGAGGTGTCTTTGTTCTTGTTTCAAGCCCTTGACACTGCTAACAGCTCTAATTACTGCATTTGCCATGGGATGTAAAATAAAACCACATTCCAGAAACCGTGTAGTCTCGGGCCGGGGTGGGGTGGGGGGCAGACACGAAGGGAGAGGTGCCCAGGGCTGCAGGAACGTGTTCTTTCATTTCTGGTCCCTAACCTTGGCAGCCAGTCTGAGAATTGAACAGTAACTTCTTTATGTGCACGAAGAAGGGCACTTTTGCACATGTAAGAATGCACCGCACTACCTGTACCCACAAATCTGGTCTGCATATTTGACTGTGTGGCGTGCAAAGCATACTTCTCAAGCACGATAGAAACTTCAAAATTCACCCAAGCCATTCTGGGGGAAAGAATGACTTCAAAAGTTTTTGAGGCTGTGAACACAACAAAACAGAACTTCTTCCAGCATAATTTAACTCTAAAATTCAATGATGTAACACTTACCTGCACCCGCCCACATCACAAAACAAAGTGACATCACAAATACCAGAGATAATGGTTCAAAACTGCCCATATGTGAGCGAGGCAGAGAAAAGTAGGTGACTAGAAATATTAAAACAAAACAAAAAAAGTCAGAGAGAGAGAGAGAGAGAGAGAAAGAGAGAGAAAAGGAAAAGACATATTTCTTCCCCCTACTAAGCTAGCTAAAATAAAATTTAAGGCCACTGAGATATGGTAAGGTGATTTCATTTTTTATAGATAGCATTTCTTAGAAGGCCAGGTCTCTTTAAAGATGTGGTTCTGATCTATCCAGATTGTTCTCCTTTTCTTGGCTGCTCCCAGGAAATGGAGGCCAGCGTCCTTTACATTATGCTTTTGCCTTTATGGACTGACCCCAGAGTGTATTTTCCTGTTGAGCAGCTTTTCCTGGCTCATGGCAGTCCGGTTGGAAAGCATTCTCAGGGTTCGGCCAGACGTCACCTGCTGTTGTTTCTGTGAGGCAGCATGGCTGAGGAGTGACTACAACTCCTAGAAGTCTCGAGTGATCCTATCTCTCGTCCTCTTCCCGCCAGGGGTCCACTTTGCTTTCCAGCAGACAGGAATTGTCTTTGATTCCATGTAAAGTTCCCCGACCCTCCACCTCTGGCCCCATATAATTATGGCCTTGGTAGAAGAGGCTTTGGTGAGCAGTGGAGAGGATGTTGCAGGGAGATTTCTGAGATGGGTGTGGAAGAAATGGGCTCTAAAAAGCTGATAGTGCTATGCCTCCAGACTAGACCATCTGGCCTCTGCTTGAGAACTGGTCTTTTTTTGTTGTTCCTTTTCCCCTCCTTATAATTCTAGCATCCGATCTATGTGAGACGAGATGCCAGCATCCCCACCTATGGCCTCCGACAGTCTATCTCACTGAACAGCAGGCTTCAGGACTGCTATGTGGACTCGCCAGCTCTCACCAACATCTGGATGGCCAGGGCATGTGCGAAGCAGAACATCAAAGCCCCAGCACCAGGTACCACCTCCTCTTGGGAAGTGGTGAAGAACCCATTCATTGCCAGCTCACTCTCCCTGGTTAAGCTGGTGCTCCGGCGACAACTGAAGGATAAATGCTGTTCGGTCCTGGGCAAGTCTGGAGAAGCAAAACCCTCAAAGAGATTAAAGCCCAAGGACGATTCAGCAGTCAAAGCCACTCGGCGGGGCGGGGTAAGAAACTCCATCAGTTCCAAGAGCAAGCAGCCCGTGGAGCAGCAGCCGGGCTCCCCTAGGCGCAGGAGGCCTGCAGGGAGCACCCACGAGGTACAATGATGGCTGGTGGTGGAGTAAATGTGGGTGGGAAGAGGGAAATGTCAGCTGGAGAACCCTTAAATTAAGGCTTGAGAGATTTGTATGAAACAAAAGAAATCCTAAAGTTGAAGACAGGATTGTAGGGAGTGGGGGCGGGGGCAGCATCAGGATACTGTGGAGAGAGCCCCAGATCTTGGGGCATGTTATTTATACCCTGTCTAGTCCTACCGGAGGATGAAGTGGCTTTCAGAAACCCAGATGAAAGGAACTTGATGGGAAGGGAAATAAGGATGGGGAAGGCCAGGATAAGGCTAGAGCACGCAGGCACACACACACGGGAACAGCAGAGGTGACATGAACTTCCACGTGCGGGACCTGGCATCTGGAGGCCTGGTCTGAGGCCAGCTCCTCCACTCACGGTGGCCGGCAGAGCTCAGCATGAAGCCTGGAGCTAGAATATCGGGTTCAAATCCCAGCTTGGACTATAATTAAGGACAATGGTGGGCTTAGCCTTTTTCTGCCTTGATTTTTTGGTCATTTATAAAATGGGGGATAACAGCCCTTCCTTCCTAAGGTTTCATGTGGATTAAATGAGTAAATATAGGCAAAGGGCTTTTGAACAGAGCCTGGCACAGACTAAATGCTTAGGATCCTGTGTGGCATTCAATAGATGACAACTGTGGTTATTAACTTTCTAGCTGTGTGGCCTTGGGCAGACTGATTCCAGTTTCCTTGCCTTTAAAGCTGTCTCCCGCTGACCTTGCAGGGTTACGGGGAACGCACGCAGTGGTGCATGAGGGAATTCGGTAACTAGCACACGCTAGACAAATGTTGGTTGTGGCTGTAACCAAGACTCTGGGACACAAATCCCAGATAATTATTCTGAGCTCCCTTCTCAAGTTTTAGCTTTGACTTCTCTGCTTTCTTCCTGGCTAGAGTAAAGAAAGTTCAAAGGAGAAAAAAGTAACAGTCGGCCAAGATCTCGAGCACAGATATGCTGAACATGTGGCTGCCACCCAAGCACTGAGCAGGGACATCGGGACAGCGGCCTGGAAGGGCCAGGTGCTGCTTCCTGAAGCCAGAAAGAGACAGCAGTTTTCGGACATGTTAACCATCCATGGCCTCCCCACAGAGAGCTACCGGGCTCTGTACCACGCTGTGGTCGAGCCGATGCTGTGGAATCCTTCCGGGACCCCCAAGAGGTACAGCTTGGAGCTGGGCAAGGCCATCAAACAGAAGCTCTGGGAGGCTCTGTGCAGCCAGGCCACCATCCCCGAAGATGCTCAGAAGGACCCGATGCCCGGCAGGACGTGGCTGGAGGTCGACCAGGAGCCTGTGCCCAAGAAATGGCCCAAGTTAAAGAGGGAGAACTAGAAACAGGAACTCACAGGATTTAGGATATTCTCTGCTAGATATCTAGAAAATAAACACCACTTTGCACCTTGCATGTCATCTGAGTGCTTTACAGAGTAGTAACTACCCTCCTGGGAAACACGATGAATGGGTTAGAACAAGATTCATTTCAGACTGCGTGAGGTGCCCCTCCACTCTCCTGAGCAGGTGATCTCCAGGGCTAGATACTTGGGGCTTTTATCCCCCAGACAAGCCCCTTTCCCTTAAGCTTGAGGGTCTCTCAGTCCTCCAAGTAGGAAAAGTCCCAGCAGATGAAGCTGATGGCTTACATCCAGCCTGTTCTCAATTTTATTATCATTTAAAAAAGATTTTATTTATTTTAGAAGAGGGGAAGGGAGGGAGAAAGAGAGGATGGTAAACATCTGTGTGCAAGAGAAAACATCCATCAGTTGCCTCTCAAACCTGCCCTGACCAGGGACCAAACCCACAACCCAGGCACGTGCCCTGATTGGGAATCGAACCGGCAACCTTCCCGTTTTCCAGGCGACACTGAACTCACTGAGCCACACCAGTCAGGGCTGTTGACAATTTTTAAAAGGCAGACTGCTAGGATTGGTTGCCATGTCCCTCCCTCTACACAGGGCCGAGCAGAAAAACTATCATCACCTCAAGGGCATAATCCCACACACTGTCTACTGGAGGTTCTCTCGTGGCGTCATCTAAATCCCCAGCACCATGAACTCCCCGTCACCCCGAGAGGAAGTCACACAGCGGCTCCCATGGGCGAGCTGTGAGGCACCGCTTCATGCCACGTTCTCCTCTGGGGAGCGTGTGGACCCTTACCAAACAGAGTAATGACGACACACAACAGGTACTTGATAAAATTGTATTTTTTTTACAGTCATTTGTACAATTTGTTACAAAACCATAGAAGACTACAACTTGTTTTAAATCATTTTTTTTTTGGTCGGCAAAAATGTAAAATCTGTGTGCAATTATCATGTATTTACAGGGCCTCATGTTAGTCATTTTCAATGATTATTCCAACAATGTCACACTTTCAACATAAGACATGGCTTAAGATAAATATATTAGTAAATAAATATTCTGAGAACATATTTCCATAAATGAAATGTGCTGCTATACATATACAGAATATACATAAGTTGTTTTCTAGCCTTTAAAACATTTTTTTTAAATGGTAATGTTGGAGAAGGAGCCCTTAGACCATTTTCTTACAAAATCTTTACAGCAAAGTCTTTACAAAATATCTTTTAAGTGCTCTGGGAGAAAATTTTAAAAAACATTTTAAAATAGTGCCTTGTTAGACCAATACAATAGTTTATATAAAGAATAGAAAAAGGCAGTTCTGCTTAAAAAATAATACTCTTGATTAGTAATTATTTTTTAGACCTCCTTTTCAAAGCATTCGTCCTGCACGAACTTGAGTAGAAACTAGCAGCACAAAAGGGAGCGTCTGAGCAGTGGGGCACCAGATGGGGCGTTAGAGAAGGGCCTGGGTTGGGGGAAGGGACCGAGTTAAAGGCAGCATCCTGGGGCTGTGTCTCCAGAGAGGTACCAAAGAGGAAGAACTCCCCCCCCCGCCCCATGTGACCTGGTTCGAGCGCTCTTTAGTTTGCTTGGCTGTCCCCCGAGAGGGCTAGGCCGTGAACCACACCCAACAGTCCTACCCTGGTTGGGGGTGGGGATTCTCCACGGAAAATGTGATGCTCCCAGTTTCCACAGCTATATAAGCCCCACAGAGCTCCGAGAGGTCCCTAAAAAAGGTACGTATCATCCTTGCAGTCTGACAACTCCACAGAAGGTGTCTCTTTCGATTTCAACGGTGAGGCGATAGTAGAGTTGCTTACTGTATTCTGGGGACCTCCCTGTCCGATAAGTCAGCCACAGATTATAAAGACAGTGGCTGATGGTTAAAGTTTTGACTTTTCAGTTTTCTGTTGCTATCACCCTGTAAACTACCAATATTAAAATGTGCTTCTTTTGCCATCTGTAGTTATTGCTCTTTCAAGTGAAGATTGGACACATTCATTTTAATAAGCCCAGTCAAAGCCACATTCTCTACTCATCGATTCATTGCTTAAGGCGGCCGTGGAGTGGTTTTCCAGCTAGGGCTAAGGAAAGCTATGTCAGGGGGATGGTTTCAGGCAAGGAAGGTAATATGCAATCAAAGGTATTAAAAACAAACAAAAACCACAAACAATAAAAAAAATCTCAACAATGAGAAGCCGCTTTTTGCAGTTCATATTAAAAGCCATACCCCCGACCCCCCCTTTCCCAAAACCACGTAATGCAAGCTGTCATCCTTAGCAGCTGCTAGTTAGATCTGGTTCGAGAAATAAAGGCAGCCCAGATCACATGTCAACAGCATAGGCGCTTCTCACACCCTCGCCAACAGGTGTGCTGGGCACGGGCCTGGGGGAGCAACCCCCCAGGGACTGCGCCTTCGAGGCTGGAGGGCAAATCTTACCAAATGGCAAGTGGGTGAGTTCCTAAATGGCAAATGGCTCAATCATCTGACACTGGAATTTCCTTCTGTCAAATCCTGGCTAGAATTGAGTCAATTTCCTCATCACAGGCTGCGGTTTTTTAAGAAAAAAGAATTCCGATACAGTGAGAGTCTCATTCACAACGTTCCGGTCTGGACCCTGGCCTGACTACCCTCGAGCCTGACTGGAGCAGAGTGAGTACAGTCTCTTGGCAACCCGGGGCGGTCTCTATCTCGCCACCTACAGGGGACCCGCTCCCAAGGCTCCTGTTTCACAAATAGGAGCTTTTCAGGTGGCGCCACATTATCTGAATGGACAAAAACGACCAGAGGAGTTAGTAAACATGGGGCTAATGTGATTAGTTTCTTCTTTGAGAAATACATTGGACAGAAAGGATGACAATCCCTGATCTGAAATACCTTTAAATAGATTCTCCCTTTTACAATGGAAACATCTTTAAAAAATGGTTTGGGTTTTTAAACTCTCCCTCTCTCAAAACAAAACAAAAAATAAAAAAACCCACCAAAGGCTGGAAACATATACAAAAACTTGCCCTTTGGGTCTAAACTATCTGATAGTCTCTCTCTCTCTGTCTCATGGAGAATCAACACATAATAGTGCATTAGGCGGAAGGGATAGTAGACGTGCGCAGGTGAGACGAGCAACTTCAGCTGGGAGCAGAGCGCTGAAGACCCCTGAAGCAGTGCTTCCGCGGGAAATGGGACAGGAAATGTATCGTTCAAAGGGAGCTCGGTGCCGACCGGATGGGTCCTGGCCACGTGCCCCCAGGAAGGCAGCTCGAGGATGCAGCAGCTCTGGCGCGCCCTCGGCCCCCAGTCTCCCCAACACCAAAGCTGCAAACTGCATTCCTCCTGAGTGTCTGTCCCCATCCACCCTATCAGACCACTTCTGCAGCCTGTGGCAGGAAGCCCACGATCATGACGGGGAACTCTCTCCTTTGCTTTGGGACGATTCCAGGGACCAGACTGAGGACACTGGGCAGAACTGTCCCTGTCACCCAGGGACTTCCGAAGCAATGGCTTGTCCCCAGCTTCCCGGTGCTGTAGGCCTCCTACCCTATTCCTAGCTGTGTCCGTCAGCTGCCCACAGGTGTGGGCTGGAGAAGCATGGCTTCTGAGAAGACCTGAAATTTTGTACGTTGGGATCGGCCATGAGAAAGAGGCAGCATTGCATTGTTCCTCAGAGTTTGTACCCATATCGACTAGCTTTACTTCAAGTTTCTGGTTCATTTTCTAAGGCAGGTGTAGCCCTGAGCTTTTCAAAGGCCTGAGCTCCCTCCAGGGAGACAACAGTATCTACACATGATGTGGTTCAATTAATGCAGCAGTGATTTCTTTTTTTTCAGCAAAAGTTGGCGGTTAGGGTTCTTTAAAATATATATTTAAATAACTTTTTACATTTACATATAATATCTTAAAAAACAAAGCCGAGAACTCAATCCCACACACCTCGGAACCCCAAGCACATACACACTTTACAAAACAGAAGAATAACATGTTATCAAAAAAGGCAAAGACTCAGAGAATTTTGTCTGTTGGTTTGTTAATGGGATGGGGGGTTGCCACAGGCGGCTCACATTTTGGGTTGAGAAGGAGGGCTCTCTTTATTACCACTTTTGTGTGTTTGTCAAAGCTAAAAAATTTTTTCTTTTCCTTTCTTTTTTTCTGAAGGCAGTCAGAGTTTGGAGTCTCTGTATAGTTCCCATTTCCACAGAGTTCTCTCTGGGCTCAGGCTCCTGTGCCCCCGCTGGCTGCTGGCCGAGACCTCTGTCCTGGGAGAGAGAGAAGAGTCATCAGGGAGGAGCCAGCACAGCACCACAGGCTTTGGGGACAATGCACAGGGACCGGGCAAGGGACCGGGGTACCCATCCCCAGCATGTGGCAGGCTCTCAGGAAGTGACAGGTCCCAGCGCTGGACAAACTGTACATACGGTGAAAGGCTTAAGCAGAGCTCCTCATTCTGTGCTGAGAGCACAGGTGTCTCCTACAGAGCCAGCCTCCCTCGTCTGGACCTAGAGGACCTTCTAGAAGCCCTTAAGTAGCTTGAAAACACAATGTGCAGAAGATGTGCATCAGGTACGTGGAAGAGCAGGAGAGAAGACCTCCCCCGCACATCCTCAGCTTAGAGACCTCTAAACTAAGTGATTCCAGGTTGTGAAAACCTGGGAAGGAAACAGAGGGTAAGAGTAACCTCAGAGGCAGTAGAGGTCTGGAGGCTGGAGTGAGCTGGAGGAACAGGATGGAGGCCACAGGGGGCTACGTTTGCAAAGTTCTAAAGGTCATGGCAAGTCACTGAAGGGTTCTCTAGTGAAAAGATGTAGACTTCTGTTTTAAAAAGACTACTCTGGCTCCCATGCGGAATGGAAGGCAAGACCAGTGACAGGAGACCAGCCAGGCTACTGCCTTCACCCCGGGGAGTGGAAGTGAGCCACACGGAGGGCACAGAGGCGGGCGGGGGTGAGAGGTCAGTACAGGTACTCGCTGGAGGTGG